CCCGTTGTGTTATTTCTTCTTTTTTTGGGTTTTTTTTTACCCCAAAAAGGGGTCGGCGAACGCAGAGAAGGAGGCAGAGGCGACCAAGGTGAGCACAGACTACAGGATGCTTTATCACAGAGCCGAGGACAGATAGCATCAATTTACAATTTTCTGGAAAAAGATCTCCCCGAAGAGAGGAAAAAAAAAAAAAAAACCCAAACCAACCCCAAACCCAACCAACCCCTCAAAACAACCAAGAAAAGGAAAAAAAAAAAAAAAAAGCGCTCATGACTTAACACCCCCCCCTCCAAAAAAAAAAAGAAAAAGAAGAGAAACATGACAACACCCACGGGTTGGCTTCGCATTTCGGCCGCCCGCCGCCCCCCCTACTTACATACATTCGTTACATGGTGCACGCACAGAGCGGACACAGAGAACGCGTGGGAACATGAACATCCAATAGAACATACTTGGGTCTAATGTAGACGTCAACAGAAAGAAAGAAAAAATAATAATAATAATAATCAGACATGATCCGGTACGCCTGAGCCGTGGCTTTCGCCTTGTCCTTGTCGGAAGGAGCTGGAGCAGGACGGTGGCTGGGGATGAGAGGAGGGGGACGCCGGCCGTGCCGCGCTTTGGGAGCCCAGCGAGGAGCCAAGGTGATGGAGCCCATGCAACCACCGCTGTGTCTGTGCCGGCCCTGTCCTGAGATCTACAAGCGCTCTGGCTTCACTAAAAAACTTTCCAAAGTGCGATTTCGGCACATTGCGGCTGAGCCGCCCACCAGGGAGGCAACGGCAGCCAAGCAGCCGGATCCCTCGCGCGAGCGCTCGGGGGTCTCTGTGCCAGCTCCTCAGTCTGCCCCGCACCCCTGCCCCGCACCAAGCGCAGAGCCCTCCCAGGAGCTCCAGCACGGAGAGATGCCGGTCTTCCCTTGCCAAATCCACACCTCGCAGGCAGCAGCCACCTGCAGTTTGGCAAGAGCCCGGGCCGACGGCTCACCAGCAGCCTCAGCACCGGGCAACGTTCAGGGCACGTCCTGCAGAGCCGAGGGTCCCTGCTGGGACAAGAGGGAGGAGGGAGAGCGGTGGCAAACAGAGCTACATGGGAACCGGCCGTCTCACGGGGCTGCTCGGCTCAAATCTCGCAGGAGCAAAACACGGTGCCTCCTCTGGTGATGGAGAGAGCGGGGGTACAGCAGGGGCAGCACTGGCCAGCGAGCTGCTGCGGCACTAGAGAGCCCTGACAAAGTCACACAGGAGCTGGAGTGCAGCTCGAGGGACGTTTAGACTGGGGGGGGTAGGGGTGTGGTTCTCCTCCCCAAAAAAGGGCCGATGCTCTTTCCTGTGGGCAAGACCTCCCCCAACTCTGCACGTCAGCCTTGAGAGCGCTCGGGAAATGCTCCAGTGCTCCCCGACGCTCTCCTGCCGCGGTGCAGGGAGGTGGGCTAAGAGCGAGCTTTGAAGTCCAAGGTCCTTTTGGCCCCCCCGGGAAGCAGAGGCCGAGCTGTTCTCCAGCACCGAGCCAACGGGACGGTAGGTGACAGAGCAGAGCACGTGCGAGCCCAGAAAGCGGCAGTTTCCATTTCAGATCAGCATTTCCCAAAAAGGTTCCTCCTGTCCCCTCATGATGACAAAGTTGCTCTAAGCCCTTGGCACGTCCTCTCCCAGGCCCAAGCCTCCCTGCCCAGACCTGCTCGCTCCAAAGGGTTCGGAGCTGCACAAGGATTGTCTCAAAAAGCCCAAACGCTTGAGGAAAGACGATGCCTGGAATGAACGAGCTGCAAAAGGTCTGGGTTTCCCCACGCCTCCTGGGACCAGGCACAGATCCAGCTCGCAAAGTTCACTCACTGAGAAGCTCCATGAAGGTGGGGCTCAGATGCTCCCTGCATCCCTGCTAAGCAGCTTTAGAGGCCCCCGGAACGGGGGGAAGGAATAAAGCCTCCATCAACAATGCTTAAACCATCTTAAACAAGATGCTTGCTTTCAGCTGGCTGGGAAGCCCCAGCGAGGCCAAACCCACCAGCCCACGACCAAGGTGGTGCTGGGGCAGCCGGGCCTCAGGTCAGCCAGGCTTTGGGTCAGCCAGCCCGAGCCCAGCCTCCCGGGTTCCTCCCCAGAGCTCCGTCCCTCAGGCACAGCACCCAAGAGCAGCATCTGAAGACGCAGAGGGGACGTGGCTCCCTCTGGCCTCTCTACGCGTGGTACTGCGCTTCTGGAGGAAAAATCCAAAGGCTGAATTTTTATCATTTTGAAGCCTCAGGTTGGGCTGTAGGTATCGCACTCCTCCCGCCAGACTGCGGAGCCCCCGCAGCGCTGCCCACGGCGCTCGGGCGGGCCCGGCGCAAGCAGACGCGGGGGGCGAGGGGCCCTTTCCCAGCCTGCGGCAGGGGCTGGCACGGAGCAACGCTGCTAGCGGGGCAAGCGAGGTGGCAAGTAGCAACTGAGCGGGGAGAGTTTCCTGAACGACTTTCGATGGATTATTTGGTAAATACATGAACACGTCTGATGGCAGCAGCTTGCAAGATCCCCAGGCTGTGCTCTTGGGAGAAGCCTTCAGCGCCTGCAGGCAAGGGGGAAGTCTGGGTCCCGTACTTCCAGGCAAGAAAACGTCAATTCATGAAGATCCTCACCAAGTTTAGCACACTGCAGAGGGGAAGAGCTTCCCCCCAGACCAGTTACCTTCTGCGACCTGAATTAACCCATCCTGAGTGCTGCTGTGAAGATAGATTGGGGGGACTGAGCCCCCCGAGAAGGGTCCCGCTTCCCCACTCCTCTACAAGGCATCCCAAGATTGTAATGAGCACAGAGATCGTGACCCTCTTTCTCAAGTGAGGCTTGTAAAGCACACGGGTAAGACCTGGCTCCCTCTGCTCCGAAGGATTTCCTTTCTTCTCTCTGGGAGAGGATGGCAGCATTGCTGGAGTTCAAGACAACGCTAGGGTGTGCGTCCTGCCGACAGATGGACAAGCCTAGCCTGAACACTACGCAGTGACACCAAATCCTCTTGCCTAAAGCCTGCAGCCCTCAAAAAGAAAACTCAGACACCCAAAGCAGCGATTTCCGATAGCAGATGTCACCACAGGCAACATCCCCCTCACCCAGCTTTTTGTCCGACAGAGTCCGTGAACACAACACCCGCCTGGCGCAGTGAGGTGGCAGAGCCAGGCTTCTGCCTTCCTGCCTCCAGCGTGTGCGGACGTGCACGCGCCTGCCCTAAGGTATGGAGGATACGTGTGAACCCAGCGTCCGCGACCCCCGGGTGCCGGGCGGTCGGATACACCCATGAGCATGCGAGGTGCTAAGTGGCTCCAGTCGGATGCACCGTCTGGGGCCGGGCAGAGCGGGGAACCCGCACTCCAGCGCGGCCGGTCCCTGGAGGTGCGCAGCTCTCATCCGTCCGTGCCTCCGTCTCTGGAGCAGGCGGCGGCGAGGCAGCCGGTAAGATGAAGCGTGGACTCCAAGCATGGAGGGAGGGGGTGACGCAGCAGCGCAGCACGGGGGGAAGGCAGAACCCATTGCGACGTCCGGAGGAGAGCCGAGGTGACCACGTCACTGTCGCCAGGATTCGTGTGCTTCCCCCCGCGCAGCGTTACAGATCAAGAGAAGTCACTGGCGATTTTTGAACCCAAGCGAATTGGCGTGGCTACTGCGGACTGCTGTAACGTGGGAGCAACTCTACTCAATGGCCTTTAATACATTGCATTTACATAGCACCTTTCAGCCCAGGGTTTAAGTGCTTTAACGGAAGTGGGTACTGCACACCCATTAGCACGGGGGAAACCGAGGCACAGAGTGGTTAAGTGACTTGCCTTAGGTCACTCGGCAAAACCGTGGCAGAGTCTGGACAGCCTTAAACCTCCTGACTCCATCGGGTGGTTAGACCACGCTGCTGCCTCGAGTGAAGCCACTCCGGTCCCGGCCCTCCCCAGCAACGTGCTCCTACCACTTCTCCAGTGAGGTCTCACACTCCTTTCTGATGCACAAATACATGACAACCACAACCACCAAAGAAAAAAAAAAAAAAAGTGCAGTAAACTAAATGTTTTAAAAAAAAAAAAAGCACATTTGTGCTGTCTCTGTGCAAAGATAAAAGAAATAAATACATGATTAAAAAATTAAAAAGGTTCACAGTATCACACATGGATAGGTAGCTACGGTAGTGCACGTCTGGAAAACACTGTGTTACTACCCAGGGTTCTCTACACCCCGCTGGATGTCTCCCGGGGGAGCTGCGGGGGAGCGGGTGGCTTCTTTGCTGCCCACATCTGGGATAAGTAGAAATACACGGTTATAGTTTTGCTCCGTTCTGAAATGCAGTGCCCGGGATCCTGCAGTGCAGCAATACTGGTGTCGGCAAGCTCTTCCCATCCCACCGGAACGGCTGCATCAACGAAAAGGGAACACATCGACCTGCAGAGGGAATCGCTGCTCTCTGGGGCTTCTGTGTCTGCATAGAGATTACTGCAAGAGGCAGAGAAGAGAGAGTCAGTGCCCGAGCACCCCCTGCCTCGGTTAGGTCTGAGCCCAGGTGTCTCCCCAGGACCAAACCGAGCGCGAAGAGAGAAGGCCGTTTGTTTCGCATCCTCCAGTACCACCACCACGACTGGAGAACTCCAGCTCCCCAAAGCTCTCACTGCACCACGCAATTTCGAACAAGCCGCAGCCCTCGCTGAGCAGCCCGGGCCTCTGCCGGTGCCACGGAGCTGATCCGAGATGCAGCAGGGCTCTGCCGCAGCCATGCAAGAGCCCCACGCTGCCCCAAGCTGACCTTGCAGGGGGAGCGCAAGCTCCGACCTCGACCCACCAGGCACCCGGCACACGTTGCTTGCACACTTACTGTATCGCTCTCCTCATCGGAGACAGAGTGGAGTTGAGCGCTATAGTGGAGCGGGGAGTAAACCCAACTCCTCTCGTCTGTCGGCTGCCAGAGTGGCCAGAGACGGCGGGGAGAATGCAAGGAGAGCAGCAGCAGAGCAGGGAGCAAAGGAGAGAAGAGGAAAAAATAAAAAGGAGAAAATAAAAAGAGTAGGAAACAATACAGTAAGAACAGCCGTCCACCGGGAGGGAGAACTGAGCTCAGGGCCAGCTCTCAGCAGAGCCTTCCTCATCCTCAGTATGTACCTGCTCCCTACCAGCGGGGACACGGGACAGCCCGCCCGCGGCCGACATTGGACCCTGCTCCAACGGGCATGGCACCACCTCTCCTCTAGCAGGGACGGGCGGTTCCTGCTACCCCCTCCCAGCTCCCAGCCCCAGTTTCCTGAGCCCTGTGCATACTGGTATCTCTGGGGTCCAGGAGGGCTTCTACAGGGAGACCTGGTTTGCCGTGCCTTCCCCCTTCCCTGCAGGCCAAGCGAGGCAGCAGATGGGTGGGCTAGACCATGGTGGATGGTGGCCACAGAAAGGAAACCATTATCACGGAGTCTTGGAGACAGTGGGGTGATGGGAACAAGTACGACAAGGGAGACAAAACACAGCTGGATCTTGGAAAGAATGAGGGGGAAGGGGACGTGCGTCGAGGGAGCCGTTATCACAGCACTGGGCATCGCTGCGACAAAACATGCTTCTGCTGCCGACACAGCAGAGAGAAGCCTGGGCAGATTCAAGGACTGGTATCTGCTTCCAGTGTTCCCAGGGGGGGACCCACTTCCACCGCAAATGGGCTCTGTGGGAGCCAGAGGTGCTCCCAGAGACAGGAAAGTGCTCCCTTGACTCAGCCTGGGGTTTGCAAAGGAAGAGAAACGGAACTGGGTGCTTGGAAGAAGCCTGGGGGGGTTCCCAGCCTGGGAACCAAGTGTCTATGATGTACAAGAAACTACAAGAAGCCAGAGGAGCTTTGAAGCACTGGGCTCCGCGTGCTGAACCCCCATCCATAATTGCAGCTACATTAGCAGAGACCGCTGTGAGAAAGGAAGGAAGAGAAGCCCTTGCCTGGAGCTTCTCACAGGGCTCTGCCAGAGGTGCATGAAAGCCCCACACTGCTTAAAGCCTGCCCCACATCCTGTTTGTCATCCATCCTGACCGAAGCCGTGCTCCAGCCAGCCTCTTTCGGAGCCTTTTAGGAGCTCAGCTGCATGCAGGGAGCTGCAAACCCAGCGGGGAGATAAGGGAGCATCCGGCGCTTGGTATTAACCCTCCCGGTGCTGGGGCAGCCAAACCCAGCCGAGGTGGGTGGCCCGTTTGCCCACTCCCCTCTGCCATCAGCCTGGGCCAGGAGCAGGGTACTGCCCCTGCTGCCCACGCACCCTGCCCCACGGCCTCTCCGCTGCTCCCCTGGCTGGTACCGAGGGCAGGCGCTGGGAGGACCACGCTGCACAGACGCTCATGCCAAGGCTCTGACAGCGCTGCCGTTACCCTCCGAGGACATCGGCCCTCCCAAAGCCTGAGAAGGGAAATACCACGACCCAGAGCAGTCCGAGCTCTGGATTCAGCCCCTAAACGCTCGACTGCCTCCCTGCATATTTCAGAAAGGAAAGGAAAGCCCTCACCGCTCACAGAAAACCTGCAGTGAGGAGGTGATGTGGGGAAGGGCTGGAGAGCAGAAGCTATCCCTAACCCCGCAGCAACTCCCAACTCCTTTGGCTTTATGAGCTGCTCACCATCCCAGCCACAAGCCTAAAAGGTTGTGTTTGCAACTGAATTTTTAGTAGCTTCAAAACATCTTAATGGTCCCTTTGGAACCCTTGTCTGGCTTCCCCGGCCAAGGGAGCCGAGCCTAACGTCACCTACAAAGCTCAGGTGCCTCTCTGGCCAGGTCTGGTGCTTGCAAATTTGTCCGAGGGCTGGGTGATTCTGCAGCCCGTCCCATGGCAGGAGCCTGCAGAAAAGCAGGGCAGAGCATGTGCTTCTGCAAGACCCTACATGGAGATCCACTCGTGTGATTTTGGTAGGCTTCCCCGGTTTCTGCTGGGCTCGTTTCTGCTGGCCACACGATACAGAGCCACAGCATCCAAGGGAAACGGAGTGCTGGCCCCAGTGTTTCAAAGCTGCAGCTCTGCTCCCCTACGTGCTAGCACGTTCACTTACAATCCTGGAGGAAAGCGAGGTGGTTCGGAGTCTGCGCTGGCGGGGAGAGTAAATCCAGTACCTCCCATCTGTGAACTGGATGGCCCCAGGGCAAATGAAGTGAGAAAGGAAACAGAGGAAAAAAGGATGATGTGAAAGAGAGGATGAAAGAGAAAGCAAAAAACAAGGGGTTGGGCAACTCCAGGCCTGAACGGATCAGCGGGCAGGAAAGCCGTGCGTGGGAAGAGCAGCACCCATGCCCTGCCACAATCTCTGCACTTTTATCCCCCTGTGGGTGAACAGGAGGATAAAGTGCTCTCCTTTCAGGAGCAGACTTCCAAAGATCAGATCCCAGTCCCCTCGGACCTGACAAATCACCCCCTGCACACAGCAGCCCTCCCCTGGCCGTCGCCCTGGAGCACTCCTGCAGGAGAGGAGCTGTGGTCCGAGCCCCGCTGCACTCCGGTGCAGCCCCACTTGAGCTCCAGCTCCAGCTCAAGTGGTTTTCCAAGGAGAGTGCCCATGGGAGCCTGAATCAGCTTTTCCCTTCATCCCAGCAGCGACAAACACTCCACAGCACACAACACACATTTAATGCAAAACTCAAGGACTTAGATGAAGTATGAAATGCTGATGAGCAGTCAGTCACGCTCTCTGCGAGCACACACAGCACACAGATGGCTTCCTCCAGGGAGAGGGGTGCCCCTCAAGTTGGGGGGAGTCCATGTGCGCAGGGACAGGGAGGAAGAGGAGCTGACCCTCACCAGCAGACACTTGCCAGTGGAGCAGGCAGTATCTGCAGCAGCTTGCACACAGCTGCCATCCACAGGCAAAGAAAGAGCAGCCGGTGTTAGAGGGAGCTGTTTGCATTTTGAACAGCATGCACAAAAACCCAAACAGAAAAGCTTTTAAAATGGAGCCGATTCCTTCCACAGCTCCCACGAGCTTCGGAATGACTCTGCAACGAGTGAGCAGCTCTGCAGCAGTCACGCAAGCACAGGGAAAGGCAAACGTTGCCATTTTTAGGTTAGCCTGAAGGAGCTCATCACAAGGGCTCAGCTTATCTCCATTGCCACATAACCAACAGCCAGGAGTCGGAGCAGGGAGGAGCCGGGCACCTCTTTTAATGAGAAGGTTCCAGTGCCCGGGCACTGGGAGAGCTCTCAGGGGTCAGACCCTCAGCTCTGCTCTGGGAATCCACAGGGCAGGTACATGTTGCTAAAAAACCTCTTCTCTGGTCTGCAGAAGCTGCTCAGACATTGCGCGAGCTGAGGAACGCAGCGCCGGGCTCCACGGCACGCTGCTGCCAACCAGCAACCGCCTCACTTACTCCCTGTCTCAGCACTAGGTTTTCACTGCATCACCTAATGCATCTGCCTGCGGGGAAAGGAAAAACCAGAGTTCACCAGAGCCCCAGGTCAGCCCCGCTGCAACCACCTCCCTTCTGGCTCTAGACCACTGCAGCACCTTTGTGTTCAGGAAAGCAGCCGGGCTCTCTGGCTGAGGAGGGAAGAGCCTCCCAGTTGCACCTACATCCACCTCGGCTTGTCCCGGGAGCGAGCACGCCGGCCTAGATCAGCCCATCAGCGCTTGGGCTTGGAAGCAGAGCAGCACACAAACAGCTGCATCCTCAGCCACCGTGCCATCCATTTGAGCCCCCCTAGATGTTGTTTTGAGTTCTCCAAGGGTCAGTCCAGTTCCCTGCATTCAAAAACCCATCCAGCGTTAAGATCGCGAGGTGCTCAGCATGAATGGGGCAGACGCTGCCCTGCACCCGACTGCCTGAAATCGAGACTGTTACAGCCTCGTCCGACGCTTCCCAGCACCCCCTAACGGGCCAGGCGGAGACGGTATCTTACAAAGTATATGTCTGTGACTGGCACGTCATCTTCATCCGAGGCCTGGCTGGCCGGTTCGGAGGCCTGGCTGGCTGTCTCCACCTCTATCGTAGCTGTGGATGTTACAATGGCACAGGCTGAAGAAGCCGCCTCTCTGGAAAGGGGGAGAAATGACAAAGGGCTGTTAAATCCCCCCCGGGCTGGGGACTCGACCCCTTCCCTGGGCAGCCCCTTCCAGTGCCTGACAGCCCCAAGGGGAAGGAATTGTTCCCCATGGCCAACCTCACCCTGCCCTGGCACAACTTGAGGCCGGTGCCCCTCATCCCATCACCCGTTACCAGGGAGAAGAGGCCGACCCCCACCTCGCTACAGCCTCCTGGCCTTCTGGTCACGAGCAGAATAGGAGCAAGCAAGACCGTACGATTTATTACAGAGGAGCTGAAGATGCTCAGCTGTCACATCCCGAAAGATCAGGTCAGAAAGTAACAGCGCTCAGCTTCACTGAGCTGCCTGGGGGAGCACCCACCTCCCTGGGGGAGCACCCACCTCCCCAGGAAAGCTGGTGCCCTTCCAGAGTCAGCCTCTGGCATAAATTGCCACAAAGCAAACGACACCAGGTAGGGCTCTGCAAAGCCGCCCGACGCTCCGAAACACTCACTCTTTGTCATCTTCTTCGGGAGCTACAATCTCAACGTCACACTTGGGCTCCAGCTCGACACTGATCTGCTGAAGCTCCTCCTCAACCCGCACCTCCTCGTGCGACCTGGGAACGGAAGAGAGACAGGCCCAAAGGCTCAGCTGGGCACTAGTTATGCACGGTCCTCAATTCTAGGTCAGCCTGAATCAGTCCTGAGCCAGCCCAGCCTCTCGCACCGCAACCTCCCACAGGAGCGAGCTGTGCTGGTCTGCCCCGGCACGCGCTGCCTGCTGCCAGCCGCCTGTGGCACCGAGCTCCTGGCACAGACGGAGCCGCTGATTTTGGCTCGGAGGGGGCCGTCAGACCTCCCAGGATTGAGGATTTGGATAACCAAAACTCCCAAGCAAAAGAGTCAGTCCTGTCAGATTGCAGTGCTCAGGACTAACAAGGTGGGAAAGGAGGACAAGAGGAAAGGGATTAATTAGCCAGTGCTGCAGCAAAGATGGGCAGTGTCAAATGGAGTACGTGAGGAAAGAGGAGAATTGGCCTCGGGGGAAAACCTGTGTCCAGAGTTAGCCTGGCGTTATCTACCAACCGCACAAGGGCTGAAGCCTCCAACCTCTTCCGAGGCTCCCACCGCACCAAAGCTGCTCAAGCACGCTCCAGGGTTAACATCACATTTATCTGCACACTCAGGAGATGTTTGCGACAGTCTTCAATTTAATACCTCACGCTATTAAAGTAATTGCTCGCACCAGCGGGGCTGGCTCCATAGTCCTTGTGGGAAGGGGGAGCGGGCGCTTGCCAAGCCGAGGGCGCAGTTTCAGGGAAGGGACAAGCTCTGGGTTGGCTGGCAGGACCGTCCTGCTCTGCGCCGTCCCTGGCCGGGGCTGGAGCCAGCAGGCGGCACTCCTGTCCGGCTCGGTGCCGGGGAATGTGCTCCCCTCTTCCTCTCAGGGGCAGATCGCAGAAACACAGAGGGAATTGCCCAGCAGATTAGAAAAATCAGAGGCGCGACACATTCCTGAGCAAACTGGAGAAGGTCTTTTTCATTTCAGCTCAGGAATGTGAATTCACACTTTAATAACTTTGTTCTTGCACTGGCTTCCACCGGGGATCGCAGAGCGCTCTACAAATACACAGGACCCTGCTCCCCTAGAAAGGGCGCGCTGAGACACCAGCACCAGGAATGGAGAAACTAGGCAAAAATAGCAAAGGCGGCCACACCTGTGTGGGGTGGCAAACCCGTGCCAGACAGATCTACTTCTGACCAAGATGGCCCAGGAACAGTCACTCGGATTTACCTGACCTATTTCTGGATGAGTACTCACATCCTACAACAGCTCCCTCCGTTAGGGTACCGAGGGAGCCCGGAGTAACTCATCCGAAGTCACTGCGTTGTGCCACGCGGGTCCCACCACTGGTGCCCGAGTTCAAGTCTCTGGTTTTCAGCAATTCCAGACAACGGATTCTGCAGGGGATGAGGTGCTTCGCAGGCCCCCAGCACTTCAACTGGTGCTGGAAATCAACAGCAAGTAGGTCCTCGCCCTCCAGTGACGGGAATTTACCAACATTCAGCGACGTGTAGCATCCAGGGGTATTTTCATTAAGAAAAATCCCTTTCCATGGTATTTTTTCCACAGTGTTATGTGGTCTGAAGCTCAGCAAGTCGCTAAAAGCTAGGAACGAGGGGAGGTGTCTGTAAGATGGTGCAAACCCTCATCTTCCAAAGTCTTTGCCTTCCTCTGAAGCACCAAACACTGACCGCAGGGAGGGAGGACGTCAGCCTGTCCGGCAGCTCCTCAGGCTATGGCACACCCCAAGACTGAGCCTCTGATGTGCACTTCAAAGTCTGTGCCCACAACACTTACAAGATGTCCTGGAAAGCTAGGGCAGGGTCAGCAGCAAACGCAGGATCCTCAGGCAGATCCCGCTGACACAGGCAATGGGGTCATTTTTACTGCTGCAAAAACATGCAAGATAATTATACGAGATGAGCCTCTAAATCCAGACATCCCTACGCAGTAGGGGATTTTTGTCCTACTTTGCCCTTGGCTCCGAGCCACCTATCACCGCAGGAGGGGAAAAAACCCCTCAAGGTACCCGAGTTTCTGAAAACACTGGAAGCTCCTTCTCTGGGGACTAAGGGTGCTCAGAGCCTCACAAAGTCAAATCCTGCTCCCATGTTCACACCCACCGCACCCAGGCGGCGCACAGAGCAGGAACACTCCTGCCGTTAAGGCTGGCTTACCCAGAGGGGGACACAAACAAACTTCCCCCATTCTGGTGCTGGTTGGGTGGGTAACTCTGGACAACTCGGTTGTCCCCTTTCCCATCAAAAAACAGGGCTAATATTCAATATTCCTTGCAAAGCACCGAGAGATCTGCTTGTAAGGAACATTCTGTGAAGAAATGGGGATTGAGTGATTGCCGAAGCAGCTCATCAGCCTGCAGAGGACCAGGCCAAAACCTTGGGGCCGCAGAGATTCACATTCAGCCCTCCAAGAGATGTTTGCACAGGGACAAACGTGAGGTCTCTGCAGCAGTGGAAGAAGAGATGAGACGCTTTTCTCACCTGCCATCCTGCCCTGAGGAGTGTGTGCGCCTCCTGCAGAAAGAAACCAGAATGGAGGAGTTTGAGGAGCAACTTAAGACAGAAATCCTACACTGCCCCCCAAATTTAACTCCCCACCCCATGAGGGAGATGTTCTACTTAACAGCTGACACTTCTTCCAGCAATAATTAATCCCATCAAAGCTGTGTCTGCTTGCTCCCAGGAGAGATTTAATTAAAAGCGGTCATTAGCATTCCAGAGCATAGGGCAGCCTGCCGAGATCTCCAGCACGGAGAGGATCGGCAGGCGCTTTGCTCCCGGGGGGGGAC